GAGACTGCCTTCTTTGAGAGCGGGGTGCTGAATGCTAATCACACAGCACTGCCGCTGAGATCGGTATCTGCCGAGTGCTGTGTATAAAATTAAAAGTGTATTTTGAGTAACAGGTTCCATTTAGCTCGCTGACGCTATTTTTGTGCCAAAACATGTAAAGAGGAGAAAATGGAACCGTAAAAGGTTCCAGACACCAAATATTAAACCCATGCCTTTGTACTGGCAAGTTTTATGTAAACAAATCAAATTCTAAACTGAGCTGTTTGCTTTTTTACTTTGGATTAAGACATATTGGTGACGCTAATTTATTATGCAAACACAATCTCCTGGACACTTCTGCGGCAGAGCAGCTGTGAAATCACAAAAGACAATGCTGCCTGGATGCAGAAATAGACTTGTGATACCACTGCACTTTGTGGGTAGAGGGGTTTATACCTCGGCCTACTGGTTGGATAAGATGGGTTACACAGAGAGGTGTGGGAGAGAGAAGCTCCGTTTCAGGTAGTAAAATATTGATTGCCAGCAGGACTACATTCCTGATTGCTGTCTCAGGGTACGTCTAGACTGTACTCTAAAATCGTAATATAATAATAAAATCGAAATCGATTTTATTTCGAAATAGGCTATTTTGAAATTTGGCGTGTCTACATGGTGCCAAATTTCGAAATAATGCACTCTTTCGAGACATCCCTTATTCCTTGTGGAACGAGGTTTGCAGGGATGCTGAAATAGTGTGTCTGTTATTTTGAAAATTATTTTGAAATAGCAGATGCGTTCCTCGGACATGGGATAGCTATTTCAGGATACCACCAGTATCCCGAAAATAGCCGTGCAGTCTAGACGTACCCTCAGATTTCATGGGGGAGCTGTATTTTATTCAGGGTAAAATAAAATGGCTTTGCAAAGCTGAATGCCAAACAAGGGAAACAGGCGCGGTGCTCATAGGTTGCAGCCACACCAAGGCGATCACTGATCAGATTCCTAGTAATGGGGCCAAATTCCATGCTGGTGTAAATGGGTTCAGCACCATTGGCTCAAATGCAGTTTCATCCATTTATGCCAGCTAGGAGTTGGGCTTCATAAGGCAGATATTCAATGGCGTGGTGCCTATATTTTGCAAAGGGAAAAAGGGACACAGTGTGGGGGTGCGCTGAGTGTCCCCCCACCCAGTGCTGGCCTGAGCTGCCCACCTGACCCTTCCCCCTCCCCCTTATG